AGGGTGCAGTATATGGAGGTAGAAATATGTGTAGAGATAATACTAAACAACATGTTACTAAAGATTTATATGATTATGACGCATGTTCGTTATATCCTATTGCTATGCATATATTTAAACTGGCCACTGGAAAACCTATATTAATCCCACAATAAACCTGTAATAAAACTATATTAAACCACTTAATGTTAGAACAACAATTAGAACCAACAAATGAACGTTATATATCAGCATTTATTGTAGATATAGAAATAACCAAGGTTAACAAACATTTACACTTCCCAATTATAACTAAGAAAGATAAAAAAGGTAATCATAATGTTAATGAATGTTGTACAATGAGAGTAGATAATATTATGCTTGAAGATATGATTAAATTTCAACAAATAGAGTTTGATATTATTAGATGATATTATTGGACTGGTTGTAAATCTAATGTGTTCAGTAATGAGATTGAAAAGATATACAATTTAAGATCTCAACTTAAAAAAAAGAAGGTAATCCGTTACAAAATAATTATAAATTATTGATGAATAGTTCATATGGTAAAACGATTCAAAAACCAATTAAAAATGAATTGGTTTACAAATATATTATTAATAAAGGAAATTGTGATTCAGATAGATATCTTAAAAAGAACTTTACATTAGTTAAATCTATGTATGACATATCAGATAATATTAGGTGTTTTGAAACAAATAAATCATTTGATGACTTCCAAATCTCATTGGTGTACAAATATTAAGTATGAGTAAGAGAATAATGAATGAAGTAATGTGTTTAGCAGAAGATTTAAATATAGATATATATTATCAAGATACCGATTCAGTGCATATAGACAAAAATAAAATAGAACTATTAGAACAAAAATATAAAGAAATATATGGTAAAACATTAAGAGGTAGTGAATTAGAACAATTCCATCCAGATTTTGATGAATTATCTGGAGATGTATATTCAAAAGAATCTTTCTTCTTAGGTAAGAAAGCTTATATAGATGTATTAACGAATGATAAACAAGAACATGCTTTACACATGAGAATGAAAGGAATTCCAAACAATTTATTGGAAAATAACAAAAATCCAATTGAATTATATAATAAACTCTACGCGGGAGAATCTTATTCATTTAACTTACTAGAATTAAAACTTTGGTTCGAATTAGTAAGACATTTGATATTTAAACAGAGAGAACTTTACAGAAAATCCATCCTAATGAGACAC